TTTTTTCGAAAAATTAGGGGGGCTTCTAATACGTCAAACACGTTGTTCATCTCAGAGGGGGCTTCTAATAAGGGAGGGGGCTTCTAATATGGGAGGGGCTTCTATTATGGGGAGGGGTTTAATGGCTATAAATAATCGGAAGGATACACTGACATCAATATGTCATCATCATCAAGAAAAACAATTCAAACTAATCAAAACTTTCTAAATCGTTTTTCTGATGCCACGTATCGTGAGAAAGAACGATAGTGATGAAAGAAAAATAATTGTACACGAAGAACTTGAGTATCTTGGAAATGAAGGTCATGTGATATGAACATACCTTAAAACATGATCTGAAACCTTCTAGCGACCACAAGCACTTGACTATTGTTCAAGCGTTACTGTTTGTTTGTTCAAGAGAATATAATGTGGTTGAATATTAGAGAAGTTTTTTTCAATGATTTAGTCATTCTCTCGATCTAAATGTCAATACCTGTCACTTAATTAATGTGAATAGTTCATAAGCAGGTACTTATAAAAAATCCAATACTATAGTTGCTTTTTTGTAACAATAATGCTGTATCCCGTCTTCACTTCAAGTGTGAGTGTGAATGAGAATGTGTGATTGCTAGTTTCAACTATGAGAAGAAGAACGCGCATCCACACGCTCAAAATTACAATCGGCTCTAATATGTATAAATGATATTCGAGTACTTCGATATTTACTCGAAATTCATTTTAATCCTCAAATAAAAATGATTCGACGACAAGATATTTTTCTCGCATAATGTTCGTTGCAATTCAATAGTTATTTAATGAATGATGATCATTTATATGTTCACAATTAAAACTTTTATTGCAAAATTTTGATCAACCACTGTATTTTAATGAATTTATTAACGAACTGAAAGAAAAATTCAATGCTGAACAACATTCGAATGAACTTGAATTGTTCAATGAACATGGAACAGATAAATTGCGACCAATTCTATATTTTGTCTCTATTGTTTTCAACATGAAACTATACTCTTGAAATGATCGAGCAATTACAAAATATCTTTCATTAAGAACTGTCGAATTTAGAAGTGTCATTCTTCATGTAAATCTCATTTGATCTATCAACTGTATCTAAAAGCTACCAACATCATTTGTTTTTCAAAAAGAAAGATCTATTCAACAAGATCTGAAAATTATGAAGCATATGATTATTAGAGTTTCATTCATCAATTTATACATCGTATTCTAGAAATCACTTAACAAATAGAAACATGATTATTTCTATTTTTTTTAAACCACAGCAGCTGAAATATTCTTTAGTGATAGAGAACACCTTTAAATTTTTATTTTTATAAAAAAATTTTCAGATATATGTCAAATCTATCAACTTTGACTGATCTACAAAAAATTTTTTTGTACTTCAAAAGCTTCTTACCAGAAATGACTCTTTGAAGGTTGAAAGTTCTTGAGCTTATATTTTGTTTAGTAGTAGGTAGTCGTTAGAACAAAACAATTTCTACAGAATTCTTGATTTCGCTATCTTCTAATCGAATCAATTGAATCTTTCTTGAATTCTTTACTCTCGGACTTTCTATCGGCGTTACTCCAAAATATCGTCATATTTGCGAGTTTCGAATTGAAAATTTACTTCTACACATTTCTCTACTAGAATAGTTTGTTTACTATGCTTCAAAATTTTCGAGTATAGTTTCTTTGAGATACAGATTTTTAAAAATACTAGGCGATTTTAAATCGATATTGTTTAAAAAATCTTGATGGTGAAAAATTCAGTGTTCGTTTATTTTTTTCAGAGGAATAGGAACTTCCAAGTGTTCTCAACCACTGGAGAAAAGGGTGGGTCTTCTTTTCACTCACACTCTCTGTAATACGGGTGAAGGTTCATGACTATTCTCTGTTAATCGATGAAAACTGTAGAGAGATAACTACGTGATTTGTTTCGCGAGATATTTACACTCGTCTATATATTTGCTGTGTATATAAATTGTCATGACTGCAGAAACAAGTGCATTTGCAATAAAGTAAAAATTCAATCTGTAGATCTCGACTATTATTTTTCAACATTCACTGATTTGCTCATGTATTTCTTTTAAAATTTATTTGTCAATAAGTTGGATGTATTCAGAGAAAGACATCAATGTTTATTCTTGTTTTGCTGTAATTCATTCGCCATTGTTTCGGACATTTTGAATTTTTGTGCTTTACCCGTTGGTGTCATAATAAATTTGTCTACAATTCGTATATATGTCGGTATTTTGAAGAAAGCTAATCTATCTTTAAGAAAATTTCGAATATCTTCCACTTGGCATTTGGATGCATCAGGTTTCAATCTAATCCAAGCACATACTTCTTCATCGTATCGTTCGTTTGGAACGGAAAAGACTTGTGCATCAGCTACATATGGATGTTCAGCAATAGTATTTTCAACTTCAATAGAATAGATTTTGACACCACCACGATTAATAATATTTTTTTTGCGTTCAACAAAATAGACATAACCATCTTCGTCCATTTTACCTTCATCACCGGTTCTAAGCCATCGCGATGGTGTGATGGTCTCTTTTGTTTTCTCGACATCACCATAATATTCACGCATCACCGAATGGCCTCTTGTCTGAATTTCACCTGATTTACCCATGGGTACTGTATTACCTTCTTGATCGACAATTTTTATTTCTATACCTGGCATCGATCTTCCGATCGATGAAAGACGTCGCTTAACATCGTCGTCACCAGCCCACATACTAGAAGTTATGGTACCAGCAGTTTCAGTCATTCCATAGGCTTGTGCCATACGTGTGATTGGAAACTCTTTTTCTAATTGACGTAAAAAATCGATATGCATTGCAGTTGCTCCTGATAAACCGAAAACCAATGAAGTAAGATTGTATTTTTTCCGATCTGGATGCATCAATATATCACGAAAAATAATCGGTGCTCCAATAAGTGCAGTACATTTTTCTTCATGAATAGCACGCATAGTAGATACTGTATCGGGTAGAACAGCTGGAAAAGTTAGATGACATTTAGCAACTGCTGCATTGAGGACACCGACTATTTCTGAGAAAACGTGAAACATCGGAATAGGAACACAAAGACGAGTGAAAAATTGACCGAAATGTTCCCATTGACTACGAATCAAATTGAGCACGCCGAAACTGGTCAATGCTGTAGCCTTTGGTTGACCTGTAGTTCCAGAAGTGTAGAAGATTTCAACAGGTGCATCAGGATCAATCGATGCTTGTCTTTCAATAAGATTTTGGTGAGATAGTTGACTACCTCGTTTGATTAAGTCTTCATATGAATGTACGCCTGGTACCGATGTTTGTGTACCAGTTAAAATCACATGTTTTAAAGTAGGAACTGCTTTGGCTGAAAGCTCATTAGTTGACGAGAAATTTTGGTCAAGCTCGGGTACCAATCGGCGAAAAACCTCAAATGTGTTGGACGATTTAACCGATGGTGAAAGTAAGATACCTTTACAACCAACTTTGTTGATACAATATTCTAGTTCTTTTTCAACATACGCTGGATTGATATTGACCTAATTGTTAGATTAAAATAGAATAAGGAAATAAAAAAAAGATTAAAAATTTAAAAAGAATTTCTAAGCACTTTAATCAAACCCAATTTTGAGGCAGCATAAGAAATGGTTACATTTTCAGATGTATTTGGAAGCCAAACAGCGAAACAATCATTCTTTTGAAAGCCTAAGTCGAGAAGTGAGGCTGCTATATTATCAACTTCTTCTTTGAATGTCTTGTATGTATATCGTTTTTGTTCACCTAGTCAAGTGAAGACATGATGAGGCAGAAAAAACAAACGGTCATGACTTTACTTTTGAAAGCGAGGCATTCATGATCAGGATATTTGTCAGCTATTGCATCGAAGCTCTGACTCAATGTTTTGTAAACCATTGGGAATGGGGATGCATGATGATAATAACTTGATGTTAATTTTCTCGTAGAATTATTTCGCTTTTGAATTCCAATGATTACCCAAATGCGTGATGGATGGGTAATCAAACGACCAATGTTCAAAGGAAACATATCTAATATAAATACACAAATAGTCAGAAAAAAACACTGGATATTTTAGTTATCTTTCATATTTGTTGATCTAAGTACTAGCATGCACTCGATATATTATTGAATCGATAAAAATTAGTTGTCTCAATTATTATCTCAAGTTGAAAGTCACGAAAGAATTCTTTTATTTGAAAATGAATATTCAATGTTCGATATGTTTTTTTATTATTTTATCTAGTCGATGTAATAATTGCAAGTACTTACATGATCGAAAAAGAAAAAGATATATTTAGGCTTGAATTTATAGCATTAATGTAAAGCGTTTCACGATAAATGCCATGAATATTAGTACGCTAAGCATTGACTTACGCTTGAAGGAATATCAAAGAATTAATTAAACGAATAAACACAAGGTATTGTAAAAAGAGAGCTGTATTGATGAGTGGTAGCGAAGTTTCAACAGTACAAAGAGCAAAGAACGAAAGAAAGAAAAACAGGAAATGTTGCGTTACATTTTTGCTTCTCTAAATATTTTCTCTATTTTTTTCAATTGTTGATTCGAAGGATAGTCTATTCATCAATGAAAACTATAAATATTGAAGTTGTTTAACAAATTTGATTTTTTCTCTTGATATTGAAACATCGGAAATAAGCTTTTCATGATAAACAGTGTGTTCGATATGAGTTTCTCATTTTTTGTGTACGAGAAATCAGACTTTGTAAAGAAGAGTTCGCTACGAATACGAGACGATTACTCAAATAAACGACACTTTTTTTATGAAATGAATATTAAAAATAGAACAGTTTTGACTAGCTTACTAGGGGTGTAAATATATATCATGGCGAAAGTTTGAAACAACGTCTCAAGATAGTCTTTCACTTGTCAATGATTATCTAACGTCTTACAGAGAGAATTATTCTTGTCGAAGTTATTTCTTGAAGTAGAAACTACATTGATGAATCGAATTCGTCCGATTCATTTGAATATCACATTTGAAAAATGAAGTGTTCATGTGAAAAAATTTTCAGAAATTGGCACTAATGATCTGTGTTAATGAAGATCTATGAACAAAAAAATAGATGAGCAGATATGTCTTTGACTACCTGATGGACGAATAAAATGTATCGAAGAAAAAATGTTCGTAAATTGAATCAACACGTGTGGCACGCTCACGTTATCTGTCATCTTCACATTCAAATTGTTCTTTTCTTTTCAAGATTTGTGAAAACGAAAAAAAGTACTAACAAATAGAAGACACAACAGACAAAATGATCTTCATATTCAAAAGAATAATTATTCTTACTAGCCTAAGAAGGATAAATCGAAATAAGCCATAGTAAGTATACAACATTGATTGATCTTGCACCATCGAATGCGCTAGATTCAAAAAACTCCGACGTAATTGAGATATCTACACTGGTTTCAAAGTTTTGACAAGCAAAGTCTTAAAATAAATGTAGTTCAAACGGTCATGATTCTTTAACAATTCAAATTTGAATTGTCACTTATTTCATCAATTTAAGGCATTTGTCATGCTATTTGCAGTTATTGCCATCTTCAACGTGTTACTAGAAACGAAGTGAATCGCATAAACATTGGCCTGAACTAAAGATATTGAACTATACATTTTTTTCGCTGGAAATCAAATTTCGAAAAGTAAGTTTTTACCAATTTTTCAGCTGCAATAGGCAACAATTGGAAAGAGAACTTCTGATGTCCAGTGATCAGAATTATGTATCTGATCAATTTTTCAATAATCTCAAACGTATCTGACTAACTTTGTTAAAGAACAATTCATGATCGTGTTAAAATAAGTTCGTTTCATACGAATTCGTCTTATTTGTCTTCTTTTAGAACACTTATAATATCTAGGTTAACTATATTCTATCGTCTTTAGGAAATTTCATATTTTACAAATTTCTTATTGCCATTTCGATTTTCTTAATATAATACCGTAATGTGTCAGGAGTCACACCATTTTCGATTAGATCAAACTTATTTTTAACATTATAATCGATAAAAAATTCTAAAAATTCTTCATACTGTTGACACATTTCAATAAGTTTCACTTTTTCAGTTTATCAAATGAGCTATCGTGCGATTAAACGTTTAGCTACGTTATTATGCATAGTTCGACTATGAAGTAAAAGATCATCAAGTAATTCGTGGTATGTATCATTCAACCAAGTATAAATCGAACAATTAATCATTGAGAAAGGAAAATTATTTTTCTCTAGACTGATAAATTATTATCTGAAGTTTTTCTAAAATTAAAATATAAAGATCAACTAGTTCGTAAGAAGAATATAAAAGTGGGTGTGAGTGTGTAGGTCTTTTTTGACCCGCACACTGATAGAAGTTGCACCATATCTATACTTCGATATTTCGACGCTAAACTCACTTAAGACGTCATTTATAGTGTGGGCATCCTGGTGTTTGCGAAAAGATACAACAATTATTCCTTCATTTGCACTCCACAGCATTCATACTTTATCTTTTAATTAATACAAAAGATATATTTTGACGATTGAGTTTGTTATTTTATTCTGGGTAATTCTTTTTAAAAATTAAAAGTAACTTTTGTTTATATTGAAGTATAAAGAACTTATTTCATACGTATGATATTTGATAATGAACTCTTTTGAGTGATGAAGTGTGAAATTCATATTTGAAATGTTTTTAAAGTTCAAAACGCGAAAATTTGCTATAAATGTGTGTTCATCATGAACACTGATAGATTCCAATCTTAGTTTTCAGTTTTTGATACTAAATATACCTTAGAAAACTATGGCATTCAGATGAATAGTTATTGAGCATAAATAATGCTGCTAAGATTGTTGAATAGAAGTAAAAAAACATTTTACAATCGCTTGGTAGAAATATTTTCTGTAATAAAAATCAGGCTCATCAGTCGATATTGATATTGAGTTAGATTTTATTGGACTGAAGTACTCCAAAAGTTTTTTTTTCGATATGTTTCTTTGCGTTGGGTATTTCGAACTTCGATTTCAAGTCGTTGAAATACACTTAAGAAGCCCGTAGTATTCTTTTGATAGTTTTTTTCTCATTGCAGTACATGGAAGTTTGATGACACCTGAAGAGGGTGCAATGAGTGTGTGTATGAGTGATTAGAAAATACCCACTAACACTTCGATGTTTCACTTCCGGTTATTAATTCAAATATGAAGCTACGTGTACAACGCGAAAGGAAATAGATTAAATATTACTATGCTAAATATCGTATTATAATTTGCTGAAGTTTAATGTCACATAATAAAACTGCTTGAATTAAAAACAACCCATTAAATTATTAAGGTTTCATCTACGAATATGTACTGAGAAAAGATAAAGAAAAAAGACAAACATACCATATAATGAAATTCATATAGACAACAATAAACGATTTAAAATTGTTTCATAATATTAATAGGATCTTCATATGATGTTCAAATGAATGATCTAAAAAAGAAAAAGTATGCTTGTTTTTCAAATGAAAACAATTCGACTTCATAGCAGAAGCTAGATATAAGCACTTTCTTATGATAGTCTTTTAATAATATGGCTGCGACCCATGATAAATGCCCTATCGTCACCCTTATGTTAAGCACTACAATAGTGACACCAAAAAAGTAGACTTTCTTTCTTTGACCAATACTTTCTGTCGAGAAAAAGATGCTTAAACAATTTTTGTGTGTTCTAAAATCGGGCACAACCAGAAGAACAATCGAGTACTACTAAACTCATAAATAACTTCAGTAAAATCATTTTATTTACTTTTATACAATATATTTTAATCGGCGTTGTATTCTAGTTCGATAAGCGACGAGAGATTTACGAAGCTGTTGTTTGTAAAATTTTGATGATAATATAAATACAATAAATGTAAGCATAGGTGGAACATGTGAGATAAAATATCCAATAAGAAGTAACCATGTATCATTTGTCGACTTCATACATTTCGTTACGGTTGAGATAAGCTAGACACACTTAGACGTACACATACAAAATCGCCATTGCGACATACTGCACGATTCCTCTAAGCGCTGGATGTCATATGAGATGGCGCTGATTGATAGCAACTATCTTGTCATAGCATGTAATACAAAAATCATTAAAGAAAATCGAATTCTTTTATGAACGAAATGTTCGTAAGACTTATTCTTTCATCTTGTTGAAAGAACGCAAATATATCTTTTAGACAAAAAAAATCATAGTAAATTTTATTATACAAAAGTGATAAGGAGTATCCAATAAACACGGCTTCTAGAGTATTCTACGTAATATATAAAAACAGATCAAAAAATTAGAAGATGAATCCTTGATAAAAAAAGATAAATTGAATCTAATAAAAATAAGAAAAAAAACTCTTTAAAAAATGTTCAAGAAAAATATTAGTGATGTTTTTATGTGGCAGGCTTCACTGACGGCTTGATCAATAGCTGTTGAGAAATTGTTAACGATTTGACTGACCTAACTCTTGAAACCTAAATAAAAGAATTCCTAAACGTAAGCAAATAAATGATATATACTTACGGCATTTGCTTTGTTGATAAGACAAACAGGTACAGGTGCTTGTAATATAAATGGCGTAGAAGCTTCAACTGTTGTTGTCTAAAACAGAAAAACTTTCAGTAGATATAGTTTGATTTGATATCTTTTGGTATTTCTGATAATTATTCTTATATTCAAAAAAGTAATTGACATATCTTGCTTATAGTAGATTCAGACATAGAAATGCTATGTTCAATGCTATTGAGCAATAAAAATAAGAAATTTACACGCATAAAGCTATTCGATATATGGTAGATCTGAAATACACTAGTTACAGAAGTTTCATAGAAAGACCTTGGTTATATGCCTGTAGAAAATTTTCTTATCGAGCTTCAATATTACTTAGATCATTCTAAAGAGATACTCAGCTTCCATTGATATATAGTATTTTAATTTTTTTTAGAACTGATTCAGAAGTTTTAAAACAGTTTTTAGATTAATAAAAGGAGGAACTGTCAAAGAAAAGAGATATTTATTATCTATTTCCCTTTGCCTGCTTCAAAAAAAATTATTGTCTTTTGAGCTGCATGAAAAGCTTCATTAATTTCATCAAACGATGAGGTGGTTACTGTTTGATAAGGATTGGTATAATACATTGAAAGTTTCCCAGTTTAACTACTGATATTCCATAATATTCATTGATAAGTAATACAGATATTGCCTGATAGGCATATGTGGATTGTGTATCATATAACTTTTCAATTCAATACGAAGATCTTGAACATCATGCAGTGTTATGCGTTGTGAATAGTACATACAGATTGGCGGGTATTGATGATGAAATTGACTATGTACTGGCAAAAGTACGTTTTCTGTTTTCATATGCCATATAGAGCAAGAAAGATCCATTCTATCTAACCGTGTCAATGGTATGCCACAAATAAATGATAGTTCCGTATTTTGTTCGTAAATAGATACACCTTCATGTGTTGCTGACAATGGCCTAGTTGAACATCGACAATTTTGGCATTGATAATACGTGGTGAAATGGGAAGATAACATTGAGAAAAGATTGGTAAGTGTTGATATACTTTCAATGATTTTCACAGCATCGTTTAAAGTGTTACAAATGCGGAAGTCATTTTGTTCAATTTCACTTATTGTAAAGGAGCAACACTGAGCAATTGCATGAATAAAGTTACTATTACAAATTCTTGTAAAATTCAAGAATTATCAATCGACTATTTGCAAATAATTTACATAGTTTTTCACCATTACCAATAAGTTTTGTCATAGAATTGATTCTCCAGCATTGTTTAATTTTCGTCGCTAATACTAGTTTATTATCTAGATTTGGCATGATCGATATAAATGCAATTACATCATAAACAGTTGATGATGGACAACCGATATTAGTTTTCTCTAAGAAAGATTGAAGACAAATTGCATTTGGTGGTTTACGTAAAACTGTTGATGAAATATTGTTATAATCAATACGAAGAATGATTACCGATGAACCTAATAAAAATCATAAGATCTATTTTTTTAACTAAAAACTTATTGATTATCTTATATTCAAGTAAGTTTATACGTCGAGACATAGTCATTGAACATTTATCACATAGATGATCAGATACGGAACCATCAAAGTAACTGTTCAGTTGATGGCGAAGTTGTAATTGTGCTTCTACCATATTGATTGGAATGTAACTAATACTAAATCTGGTATGTACAGTGAAGTTACAAGATGTACAACAATATGCTTTAGTAGCAGGTATGCAACGATCAATAATTGGAAGAAAAATCTTGTGAAGAATAAAATTCAATTGTTCACTATCATCACTTGGAATATCAGATGGTGTCTGAAATTTACTATTCAATAATTGCATCAATTCTGCACTGTTTTGTTTTGGTGGCTTAATACGTTCGGAAGATGATACCCATGTAGCAATGAAATCAATTATATCATTAATTAATGGTGTTGATACTTTTGATGATGAGGATAATGATTCATGAATCGATTTAATTGAAATCGATGTTCCAATAGCAACATTTAGTCAATTAGGAACAGGCAGATGTGGCACGTAAAGACCATCATTGATTGTTGTTGAATGTACTACAAGCGTACATTTTAAATTATTCATTATTGATACGTTAGGCTTCTTCTCGTAAAATTCGTGACCACGACGATTACTCTTTCTCCAGTTTTCTGTCAACTGCTTCAATTATTGTTGATGAGGTTCATGATTGGTATTCTTAGACGATGTAGCCATGAAAAAAAAAAGCGAAGTTTTCAATCAACGTCTCCATATCTTGAATAAGTATTTGTAAAACCACATCAGCTCGCAGATAGGTCTGAGTACCTTTAATATGTTGAAAAATCTTGCTTTATCTAGTATTCTTAGTAGGAATTAAAATGCATACCTAGTTGTGTTCGTTTTGACAATGGCCATACATCTTTCCGATATAGCATTCGTTCTTCGATCATGTGTATTTAATAGAAGTTTATTATATGCCAGAATTGACGATTTTATATGTCTTGATAAATTTCCTACCATGTAGAATAAATATTAAAATACTTGTTGGTTAGAAAAAAATACCTTTACTCAATAACAAGTTCGACCATATGGCAACTATTGGTATACAATGTAGATTGATATACGCAAGCCATTGTCTTACTGATTTTGCTGGGTTATTCACCGATGAGGAAAACTCAGTAGTTGATTTTATAGTATCTGGGTAGCATACATTGTAAATTTGTTGAAGATCTTTCTTAAAATTACTATCCACTTCATTTAATTGCTTTTCTTCATCAATCAACAATATTTAAAAATATTATGATGTTTTTCAAAAGATACTACAGAAAGTCGTACCTCTAAAAACTAAATGTTCTCGAATTACTCGAGAAAAGACGTTTCTGGACTTTAGTCACGATTGATGGAACATTAAAAAAATTTAAAAAGGGACAAAATTGCTATAATGAATAGAGGAATTTTATGAGAGTTAATGGTATTTCAGTTAAGATTTTGAATAATTACATAGCAATAAAGATGTTATCCTGATGCCTCAGAAAAATACTCTATTGAAACTTCATGATATCCATTAGTATAATTCGGTGTAATATCACAATACAACATTATGCATGGTTGAATTTTGAAGTTGTGACCCAAGATTAATTATGCTGCTAAAATGAGTATTCATTACAAAACATGTGCAAGTAGGAGACAAATTTTTACATTATCAAATAGATTATTTTAATCTAGAGCTCATTAAAAAAGCGACCATCGAATCAAACATTTTTACTCTTTCTGAGAATTCTATCAAGAGATTTAAGGAAATATTTCAATGAAACATATAAATATTACATAATCATTATTCGACAGTTTCCATTAATGAGAGAGAATTGAATCGAACGATTCATGTGCATAGTTTATGAAAATTTTTATAGGTTTTATTTTATAGATTTTTTTGTTTATGAAAAGAATTAAACGTGGTAATGCAAGAATAACCAAGAGAGCAGGAACAGTAAATAAATTTTTGTGTTGTCGTATTTGTTCTTTTAACAATGTAAGAAAACTTTGATTAGTTTGAAGATTTGATTTTTGACGAGATCTTTTTTGTTATGAGAATAACAGCTGATATTAGATTAATGACAAATGGAGCCGAAAAAAATGAAAAGTATACACGATTGAATTGAATCTTTTAAAACTAGATGGATAAGTAACAATACACCATACTCGTTTATCATCTTCATTTTCTTCATCAATTAAACGTCGATAAAAAGGATCATAAATAGAAGTACCAATAATGACAATTACAAGAATAACAATGGTTATTTTTACTAGTTTTTTACTGTTTTTCTTTTGAAAATTAGGAGATTTTATTGTTGCCATTGTTCGTTCAATAGCAACAAAAGCATTTAACCATTGATCCATATTAACACAAACTTGTAAAAGAAAATCAAGCGACATACATTGAATTTGTAAAAATAATCGATTTAATATATGTTCCATTTGTGCAAGAATAAATATCTAAAATTTCAATCCAAATATAATCGTTGTAAGTAAAGTAGTAATTGATGAACCTAATAGATACAAACCACAACCAACTTCATATATTATTTTATTGTTGAATGTAATCAAAGCTAAAAATTCATTGATAAATCCTGCTATCATGAAGATTATAATCAATGCTAAACTAATTTTTACAATATTCGGCTGATGTATAAGACAGATATGTGGTTGAATATAATAGCATCAAGTGATAAACCAAATCTATTTGAACTAAATCGACATCGTGTTCCATAATAACATGCTGGACAAATACATATTGATCTTTGTGGGCATAATCTGTAGTGTGTCTTGAAAACATTGACCTAAACAATCGAATTTCATATTATGATTAAAATCAAAATAGTTCGCTAAACGTTGTTGTCCATAATCGTAACATAAACAAATATGAAGATCATCATAATAACAAGAAAGATTTGATGAGTATTTTTGACATGATAAATGATAATATTTGATACGACGAAGACCATGCATTTGAACAAAAGTTTCATTAAATAATTCATTTATATGTGGACAATGATCTGATAGATTTAGCATTTTATTAATTATTGTTGATCGTTCATAAGTTTTTTGAATGACAGCTAGATAATAAGTTTTATCGAAAAGTTCAATAAAAACAAGATGAAATGATCGTGGCCAGTAAATGGTTAGTAAATCTTGCATAAGAGGAAGTGTTCGAAAAGTAGTTGTTCTCATTGGTATATCAATATTAATAACTTCAATGAAATGAATAAGTATCGATTGTGATAAAACAATATTCTTTCCAAATGATAGAATTATTTTATTATCAACTATTTCACATCGATCACCAATATAGCCTTTTGGACAAATACATACAAATTTTTGATTCGATATCATATAGTCATCAGAAGGAATATATTGTCCATCATGTTGACACGTTAAATTCTTATCCATTTGACAAATTGTATCGATAAGAAGACATCGATCACCAAATTTATCAATAGGACAAACACATACAGATCGATTGTAAGCTGAGACACCAATACATATTGAATCAGATGAACACATACAAGTATTTTCAATAGTGCAATATCGACCAGACCATTCTCGATTACATTGACAAAAACTACAATTTTGTAGATGTATTTGAATATTAGACACATTTTCCATCAATATATTGAGAATTTGAACAACTCAGAATGTTTTCATTAGTTCGCGGAATGTTTGCTATATATGCGATACGATAAACAGGTAAAAATGGAAATTTTATTGGATAAAATAAACTTCCTCGATATGGCAATGAACTTTTTTCATAAATATCAATATCAATATGTATTGCATAATTTTTAGTTTCATTTTTTGGTCGATTTGAGTAGAGCAAGTATATATAAAATTTGATTTTACAATCTCTTATTGGCAAATAAGTGAATTGTTCATATGAATAAATAATTCTTTCTTCACTATCATCGATAAGTGAAATAATTATTACAAATAATGTTGTCCAAGAATCTGATAATGTTCGAAATATAATGGTCAAACTCATTCGTTGATTTTGATATTGACACATATTACCATAAAAACTAGACGGACAAAGACATGTATTTCTTGTTAAGTTCTTTTCATTATTAAACCAGAGATGTAAATAAAAACCACGATGACATCGAGATTCATGTTGATGAAACATTTCGATGTGAGATGACCTTGAAAGTATGGGTTTTATCATATTCGGAGTTTGATCTTTGACCGATTTACTCATTCCATTCAAGAAAAAATATTTAATTTATTGTTTTTTCTTTTCTTTTTTTTCGTGACATAAAAACTGCTCAACATCAGAACGAATAGATGACTGAGACGAAAGACAAACACTGTTATATGTAGGAGTATTTGTTCAATTTTTTACACAAAATCTTTCATCATCTCCATGATCACAATTTATTGAATCTTCACATAATTGATGAAAATGAATACATAATTGGTAACTTTTTCCCATGCAGTACAAATTATTGAAAAATTCTACTTGAT